GCGGGCTGGGCGGCGGTGGCGAGGGCGGCGGGGACGGCGGAGGCGGTGAGGGCGGAGGCGACGGTGGCGGCGGCGAGGGCGGGGGTGGCGAGGGCGGTGGCGACGGTGGCGGCGGCGAGGGCGGCGGTGGAGATGGCGGCGGCGGAGAGGGTGGAGGGGAGGGCGGGGGCAAAGGAGGCGGCGGGCTTGGAGGCGGAGGCGAGGGTGGCGGAGGAGAGGGCGGCGGCGACGGCGGCGGTGACGGTGGCGGCGGTGAGAGCGGCGGGGGCGGCAACATGGCTTCGGTGCACTCGGTGCAGTCATAGTAGCAGGTGTAGCCGCCAGACGGCCCGTACATGCTGGTTCGAGAGGCGCTCAGAGGATTACTCGCGGTGCAGTCGCAGCAGTGGGCTTGATGCACGCCCCAGCCGCCGTGGGCACTTACTGTGCACAGGTAGAGGGTCCCAACTGGAGCGTCCGATCCACCAGTGACGGAGAGGTCGCTGTGCCTCTGCGTCGCTGTGATGACGTACTGCCCGCCGACGTACTCGTACACCTCATATGGTGGATCGTGCGGGCCCAAGCTGGTGTTGACCCCCGAGACGACGCTGCTCGGGCATAACGGTGGCGCCCTCGGCGGAGATGGTGGGGAGGGTGGCGGCGACGGTGGCGGATCGATGCACGCAGCCAGCTTGACGTAGTGAAGGAAGTCTCCGTTGTCCTTCTGATTGACGTTGACCCCTCCGTTGTCCTGCCACAGCCGGCAGGTGCGAACGTTGTCATTGTAGAAGAACTCCCGGCACCCACCCTCGGCCATGCAGAGCTCCGCGCACACGTTGGCGTCCACTACAGTTATCTTCTCGCCGATTAGCCCGCTGTTGTCGATCCACTTCGCTCTGCAGCCTCCGTCCTCAACCACCCCACCCCCTTCAAAGCAGTTTCCTGCCCCAAAGTTGGACAGGCCACCGTCGCTGCACGGCGGCGGCGGTGGTGACGACGGTTGAGGAGGTGAGGGCGGGGCTGGGCAAGAGAAGGGAGCTGAAGCGGCGCAGTAGTCGGGTGGCGGCGGTGGTGGCGGTGGATAAGGTTGGGGCGGGGGTTTAGTATTTTTTTCCTCTTGCTTTTTTTTATTTTCTATTTTTTCCATTACTTTTTCTTTCC